TTTGTTGCACAGTGAGAAACTAGATTTTCTTTACGTCTCCTTATTGCGTACATTTTTCTTTGATTTTAGTTTAGAACACGAGATTTTCTTGTTGCTGCACACAAAATATGCTATTGCTATCATGTGACGCATAGTACAATTGAATAAGGGATACTTTAGAGTCAACCTTGCCCTGCTTGCCTGAAATACAGATAGTCGTTTATGCGTTTCCATGCCATCAAGCATCAAATATCTTAATATATCAAATGTATCTTATGTAAACAAAGAAAAACAGGAAGCAAGTTTTCAAATGATTGTCATGAAAACTGTCAAAAAATTATGTCTATTTAAGACCTGTTAGAATTTCAAGTAAGCTTGGTACTTTCAGACCTTGTGTATATAAAAGTGAGAAAAATCTAACTATATTTAATAATTGCTATACTAGGTATAATCTCTGCTGAGATTTCGTGTAACGACAAGCGTAGACATTTCCTTCTCAGTTTCCTTCACTCGAGTTCGAAGGCTTCAGTAAAGTTCTGTGCTCGTCTATGTTAAAGCTAAATTAAATGGGTTACTTGTGTCTGTGAGGAAAAAGCCCCATACTTTGTAATCACACTAGCACCCCCCGTTCCGACACAGTTGCACATTTCCAGCAAGTTTACAGATTTTTATGAATGTCAGCTTATGCCAGATAAAGAATTTTCAAAATCAAGTTCAAACACAACATGTAAAATATAGAGTTACTGCCAGTTACAGACACCATATTTTTGTTTTCACCCAAAATTCCTATCACCTTAAGTATGTTTTTCCTATTATTTATCTTTTTATTATTCGTCTCAGTTGTTGGTGGTTAAAGTTTTAATGACTGGAAGTAATGTACCAAAAATGTGGGTTTGACAACTCCTGAGTTATTGGTATTGGGGGGGGGGGGTTACTTGACGAATAATGTGTTGTATTAACTGATCAAAACATGCTACTTGTTGTCCAAGTGTTTCATTTCACCGAGTTGATTGATTTTAACTATTGATTGTTACAACTGTAATATTGACCCTATGTAAACATTATACTGACCTCAGTGATGGACTGAATTGCAAAGTTCACAATGTGGCACGCATACATGTCAAATATGAATATGTATTAAGAAAAACTGCCAACCATTGACTAAGCAACACGATAAAGTGACTCCAGAGAGTACTTCAAGGTTAATTAATACAACTGTAATTTATTGATTGTTGTATTCATACAACAACTGAAAGCCATTCATATTGTAATTTTGTTTCATTTTGACATTATGAGACCACATCCAGATGTTGTCAACTAATTCAACAGAATAACAATGACATATACATCAAAGTCAAACCTCATGTTATCCATTTATAACAATGTTTCCTCATAAGAGAATTGGATACTTTGCAGCTGAGCTTTTGACAAGGTTTGCATTTTTTTATTGCAGAAAAGGTGCTGTCAAATTTGATAGCATTCTGGAAGTCTTCCAAGAAATGTGGCAAACAAAGGAAATACTCTGCAACAACACGAGATATAAAGTCATGACAAATTGGCAACCTCCCCAAAGCCTATAATTACTAGTATGTGCATTACAGTGTAAGGTGGGCAATGAAAAGTCACATGTTTCATCTGATTACATGTCTTTATTAAGATGCACTGTAAATGGGGCACCATATCCAAAAAACACGGCACAGTTTATAAAGTGATTATTTAGTTTTAACAGTGAATGTTATGCTTAAGAAAACTAAGGGTTAGTTTTAAAAGAAAGCAGCAGTAACCCCACAAGTACAAAACATCACACTACTTTGAGGAGCAAAGGAATGTAGCAAATGCAAGAATGTTATAGGAGTCACACGGAGGGAGAAAGCAGCCTACTTCACTCTGACGCCTACCCAATACAGCAACTAACAATTATGGAGACGGGATTCACTGTCAGCTTGAAATCGAGCCTCAACACGGCCAGGATAGTAACACTGTCAAATGATACATTGTGACCAATCAATACTTTGCACTTTTTTATTGTGTCAGTAGGTTGCTATGACAAGTAGTTTCTTAAGAAACCCCCTAAGTTGGTGTAGTTGAATCCTCAACAGGTGGTTCTGACTGGTGGATTACATTGGTCACTGAAACAGCGCCATCTACCACTATAACTGAGAAATTCATTGCTGTACGTTAAGCTTGCGACTTATTCTCACATCAGTGCTAAATATATCTTAGAATATTGATTTTTATTTAATTGGAGAACCAATGGAAAGAAAAATCACATTATGTAAATACATTTAGTATAGTGACACCTGCGTAGCATCAGACTTTCAGTCTTCTATCTGTGTTGACTGAGGAAATGGTATGATCTATTGGTATATTCATTGTTGTAAAGCCACATGCCCGAATCAAGTTCAAATTTTGTTGACATCGGTAGTACATTGTTCTGTGCTTTCCTGTTGCAATCATGCACTAGAGATTTACTTAATCAAACAGTGTCCATATTATTTTTTTGCAACACGTTTCTTTAAATACAAGCCATGCATGGCACAGTCCAGAAGATGCTTGATTTTCTATCCGATCATCTAATGAGTACTTGTCCATATTGAGAGATATTTCTCTGAAACAGCTATAATTGAAACAAAATGGCCACCAGTCAGCCATTTTAAATACATCTGTATATCTATAATGTATAATGAATAGATAAAAATTGAACATAGTCAGTCAAAGCATGGCAGAGATATGGCTGTAGAACCGCATTGATTAAAACAAAATGGCCACCAGTCAGCCATTTCAAATCCGATGTGAAAAATGTGCATAAATGTCCCATAATGTCCAATGTATGTATGTACTAAGTTTGAACAAAATCTATCTGTAAAAAGATAAATGCTAGATTTTGATGATTTTTCAGTACAAAAATGAATCTTGAATCAGATCGTGAAAAATATAGATGTGCATATGTATAATATTATGTATGATGAATTGTGAAGTTTGAAGAGATCAACTGTGTTCGAGGACTAAAACAAATTTGTATAAAAACATTAAAAATATACAAATTTATATCATTTTGAGCACCCCGAATTAATAGGATGAATTTAACTTTTTTTTTTACCATACATGTGATTGTAAGAATATCAAAATGTTTCAGTTCAATCTGGAGTTCAGTTATTGCACAACTTCTGGAATAGAATGATTGTACTTACCACATTAATCCTCCAATATACAATGTTGAAAAAGGGATTATTGATATAAAGGTTTGGTGTCATCAGGTGACTGTCTAGAAAGATTGATGATAGAATTAACCAAATTTTGATGTAACATTTTGCCAGTTTTTCTATAATTGTTGTAGACCAATTGGACATAATTTTCTATTCTATTAAGTTTTGATCGAAATTTCAGAAAACATGCGTGTTTGAAATTTGTTGACTTGGGCCCTTAAAAGTTAAATTTGTTCAACTAGTAGTAGACATTTTATTCCTTTGGTATTAGGTTTTATAAAACTCCCCTCTAGAGGGCTCACTATCACAGTTTCAACTAAATTGTGAAATACAATTAATTTATTATTTCCCAATGCTTACAAGTAGTACAAGTAGTGCATCTAATGATCCACACCCATATTTTCATGCACCTCAAAAATTGACAGTAACCTCATACAATAGATAACATAAATATACTTGGTTCATCACTGTGAATAATCAAATGAACTGATAATATTGTATAATCATCAAAAGCAAAAATTGTAAAAATATTTATAGTGACTGTCATTGATCATATACACGAATTGTTTGTTAGTCCAAGTGACGATACAGACAGTTATGAACATGACACACTGCTCTTACAAATTTTATCTCAGTGAAACTCGGCGAAGTAAAAGAATAAATAAAATGGGAGCTAAAATGCTCTTGAATAATCAATGATCAAGTGTTCATCCAGTGGCCGCCAACATGCAGTTTTTATTGCTATACCACCAGGTGCAGTGAGTTTTACACCAAAAAGGTGCAGCATTACAGAGTACGGTAAATGCTATAGGTGTAAACAAATTGAATTCTCTAATGACATCAATGTATATTGAGAACAAATAATCAGACAAAACAAATGAATATGTTAAATCTCAACAGACTAAAGTGTACTTGAGATAATTCAGGTTAAAATAGTACAAAACGCCATCCTGTAGAGTAGTCAGGATTTTAACTCTTAGTAAAACCACAGAACTAAGTATACTGCCCTCTAGAGGCAAGTTTCATGCATTGGATTTATAAAATTTCAAGACCGAAGATTAACGATAGTCAAAACGTTTCACAGTTTACAATTGACTCAACAGGTAGTATTGCCATCTTGTGACTTAAGTATATCTTTTTAAATCATAATTTCTAAATTGTCAAAATCTTCCATTTTCAAAATATCATTGCAATACTTAATACCTCTATGTTAATCTTACTACAGCTATGTACACCATATTGCGAATATAATATTTGTGTATATACATTTGAACAATGCAAAGCAAATGAAATATGGCTCAACACTTTTTACGTATCTTGATGAGTAGTTAGTGATACATAATTTGTGTTGACAACAGAACCAATCTACCTTGGAACCCGACAACTCAAACCCCGACATTTTTTGACAATCTTACTATATTTATGTTTGTATGATTAACCTCTATGTGCATGCAGGGTTCTTACAAGTTTCATCATATTTTTGAAAATTAAAATCTATTTTTTGCATCAAAATATACACTTTCAGAAAAGTTGTCTATGCTTGGAAAGTCAAACTCCTTGACAAAGTCGTCAGATAGCATGTCATGCACTATTTTGAAATTTTAAGACCTGTCCGAAAAAAATTCCAGACTTTTTCAAGGCCTTAAGAATGTAAAAACAAAACATAAGATCCATAGGAACCCTGGCCACATTAAGAGAAAATAAAAACTATAAAAACATGCAAAATGCTCTATGTTGCAGTATTTACAGCCTGCTATACCCCATGATCTGTTTTTAAGTGACCTTATAGCATAGTGCATATGGACTGGAGCACACAACTGCATTGAAGGAGTGAGAGCTCATCCATGATGGGGTGGCAGCTTAATCCATTTTCAAGTTCACATAAATGTAGCGTATAAATTTCAATGAAGCGAAAAACGAGACGGTTCCAAGCATTAAGAAGAAGATGAAACACGTTAATAACGTCCAACCAAAGAACTCCACTGTTTGTAGCGACCCAGACATGTTTGACCGCTTGTAGTAGTAGAATAGTGAATATAAGAATACAAAGAAACCAGTTGATCTGCAAATAAACATGAATAAATAATGTTAATATGTTGTATGTATTAATACTTAGTGCCTGTGTTGGGTGTGCACTCAAGTAGAAAGAAAACACAGAATACAGATTGTTGTTATCCCCATGACATTTTTCATTTACTTCTGTTTCTACAATATATTAGCAGAAACCCCAAAAAATAAGTCACAGCCATCCCGTTTTGAACCGACTTGCAAACTGATGATCAGACACAAATTGTTTATTTTTTAACCATAAGGTAAATACAATGAATGGATACAAGCTGTTTTACTTACCCAGCACTGAAAACAGATCTCCACCACCAACGATAATCTTCACTTGATAACTGGAAATATGTTAAAGCCACTGATATGCAGGCAGTGACACTGAGTAGTATGGCAAACACCACAAATAAGATGCCATACAAAGTGTACTGCTCACGTCCCCATAGTGTGGCAAAAATGTAGT